TCGAGGAGAGGTGAAATTGCGAGGTCGACGATGGCTAAAGNAGAGAGAGAGAGAGAGAGAGAGAGAAAGGAGTCTCTTTCTCTAGATGAAAAAACAGAAATAATTTTTTTGGAATTATTGTATTTAAATTTATTTTCGAATCTCGAGGAAAATGTTTAATACGAACATCAAGGATAAGTAGAATGATTTTTGTGAAAAGATTTTATGGCTCGAGACGGGTTGACCGACAAACGGTGAAGATATATATATATATACGGTCGATCCTTGGGCCCTCGAAAAACTCGAAACGGTCAATTATCTCTCTTGCCTCTGGCTCAACAGGGTTATTTTATTTCCTGGCAAATGATCCCGTTTCCGGCCGCGTTCAAAATTTAGAAACTGTTACGGAATCCAAGCCGCCCATCTTCGTTTTATGGTGGAGAGGAAATTCCATCACCTGTTCCTCCATCTTTCCGTTTTCAAAGAGATAAACCGTGAATGATCGGCAACCCTTTTCACGAAATATTCTCGAAGGAGAGAATTTATCGATCGATTGAAAGAGGCGCGATAAATAAGGAGTTTTGAGAGGCGAGAAAGATCGTGGATCGTGAATTTTGGAAGCGAGAATCTCGTGTTTTTCCCTCTTTCATCGCGACACACAGCTGGTTGTCGACGCCGCGATGTAACAATGTGGCCGCCCAGCGTGATTCCCTTTTTACGCATCATCATAAATCCGAGCCACGGGAGTGAGCAGCGGGTGGTGGATTCGGCCTTCGATTCGAATTCGATAATCGAATGGTTTTACCTTTTCTCCAAAAAAAAAAAAAACAGCCTCCAAATTACTCTGCAATTTCGTACAAAAATTTCCCCTACGAATGCGGAAAAATATCTCGTATTACCTTCGATCGTGATCGTGACGAAACGTTAAATTAGAAAGAGAAGATAAAGAAAAAGAAGGATAGAAAAGATGGAAGATCGGATAGCTTATAAATCGAGTCGGGCGATTCGTGAAACGCGTGACGTAATGGGGAAGTACAGGTATTCGATTCACGTTCCTCCTGCATTTCATTATAAATCTTTCCTCCAAGAGACTTCCTCTTCATTTTTAAAATTCAATACTAAAATTTTCCTCCTGGAAAGATCTCCTTTTTTTTTCTATGAATTCTCGCGAAAAATCGATCCAAGAATTCTTCTCCGCGTTGTACAACAAATAATACAAACAAAAGAGAGAGAAAGTATAAGTAAAAAGAACCGTTTAATCATCGTTAATTTTTCTCACGCGAACCTCACGCGTAGAAAGAGAGAGAGAGAGAGAAGAAAAAAAATATCAAAAAATCCATTCGACACCTTTCGCTCGCCAGGGGCGTGACCGACCCATTATCGCCAGGAATAATAGGACGGCGATATTTAAACTGTAACGCGTGTCTCGTTCACGACTTTTTCCACCGTGCAACCCTTTCGCCCGCTTATTTGCATGTTGCTCACGATGAATAATAGAAATAGATAGAGAGAGAGAGAGAGGAAAATGGATGGAGAGAGAATGGAAGAAAGTCGAGAGAGGAGGGGAGGGGGAAAAAACAAGATGTAACGTCGAACCGGTGGAACGAAAGGGGTATGAAAAATCGGGAAAGGGTGGAACGATGACTGGTATGGACTAAAAATGCTACGAGACAAACGGCTAGCTATTTGGACGGCTCTTTTGTTTTTCGGTAGGCGGTGCCGCTTCGCCTTTTCGCCAAACGGCGTCCACAATGGACGAGGCATTCATTCGTCAACGGTGCGAGGGTCAGCATCGAGTGCATAAACAGAGAACGTTTCTTCGAATATCGAATCGATAATTTCGAAACTTCTCTCTTTTTTTTTTCTATCATCGCGCGAGCGAATAGAATTTGAAAGATGTTGTAGAAGCTACGATGTTGTGAAAAAGATATCCCTTTTTTTTTTTTTGATCGGCCTCTCTTTACCTCGTGAGAAGATTTTACGATTGGTAGAGAAGAGAATGGACTCCCCCTCCCCCTCCTTCTCTGTTCGAGGAACCGTAATAACAACAGTTCTCAGGATTTATATTTTTAACGAAACCGAGCTCGGTTTAAAATTTAGCAGTTATTAGGATGAAATTCGCCATTTCTAAAATCCATCTCTAAAATCTTAAAATTCGTGACAATAGCGCGACAAAACTTGGAAATTCGTGAATCATATATCCCGATATAAGGGGAGAGAAGAGTCTAAGCGGTTAACGAATCGTTTATTTCTTTCTCTCTTCTTCTTCTTTTTTTTTTTTCCATGCTCGAAATAAAAGGGAAAGGAGACGTTGGTTGTTTACACGACGGCGACCCGCGGCCACCGCGCGGGTTTTGTTTTAATCGGACAATGAAGGAGGGGGAGGCGTAATAAAGAGCCGACGCACGGCTGCACGTGTCCACCGTCATTGTCTCGCGCTCGTTCCCCGCCGAGAGGAAATAATTAAGGGCAGAGAGATTCGCGAGCGAGATAGAGGCCGAGGTAAAGAGCTGCGAAGTGAAAAGGGATCCAAGTTCCTCTCTCGTCGATCTTATCGAACAGCCTCTCCTGCTCATTTCACTCTTGCTCTTTCTTGCTCGGTTAAACACGATCGTTTCGTTCTTATCTTTCGAGTTTTTGTGTGTACTTATTTTACGTATTCCGCGCGTTCAAATTACGTTAATGGTTTATTTGGAAACTCGATACTTTCGTTCTTATTTTTCGAATTTTTATGTATTCTGCGCGTTCAGGTTTAAATTAGTTTAAGTGGTTTATTTGCAAACTCGATAATTTTGTTCTTATCTCTCGAATTTTTATATATTTCGCGCGTTCAAATTTAAATTAATTTAATGGTTTATTTGATTCTTTTTCTTTCTTTTTATTCGTTAACATTGGATTTGATATTAGATCAATCTGGAATCCGTATTTATTGCAGGGAGATATTTTGAGATTTTAAAGAAGAGAGAAGAAAAAAAGAAACTAGGTTCCAATTTCTACAAAGTCGAAACTTTGGTTAAAGAATTCAACCGGAGAGAACATTGCGCACACCCTTCGGAGGATCCCAAGAGAGGTAGAGCAAGATTTATGACCCATTATGTACCGGGTGACTTGTGAAGCGTCTACGCATCTGGCACAGAGTCCCGTCTTGTTTGACGGATTTCGAAAAACGCTAATTGGCTCGCTAGTAGCTGTTAATAGGACCTTCTCCTTCCAATTTCTAAAAACTTGCACCATTTCAATCTCGAGAAGATTTTTAAACGAAAAATATTTCGAATGTATTTCCCTTCTTTTTTTCTATTTCTAAAATTCTCCTCCTCCTCCTCGATTTTTAATAAGAAAAAGACGATTAAATCGTGGAAAAGGGAATTGTTATTATTATTATTAACGCGTGCTTCTTTAGAAAATGGCGGATTCGCGACGCTCATATCGATCGCGATGGCGACGCCCCTCTCTTCCTTTGCGCCGACGTACAACGAATATGACTCCTGTTAAGTCGAGTTTA